ACACGAAAGGGGTGATAAATTCCGAAGTATAAAAGCTTTCGTGCCATCGCTGAAGCGCTGATAAATAATTTTCCAAGGTCTGTTTCGCCAAATAACTAAACTAATGCACTTCAGACAAGAAACCCAGTAAACACACTACCACTCACCATGCATAGCACATAGAAAAGGCGATTACAACACTCAGAAGAAGCAGAATTTTTCGACGACACACGATATTAACTGCCGCGCCCACTGTTCTTTTCTCGCCAAGCAACAAATATTCTTAGCGCCTTTCCACTTTTTCCACTTAACCACAATCCTATGCTCAAGAGAGACGACTGGGGACGAGTCAGCTATGCGCATGTAATTTCCCAACGGAAGGGTGGGACCGAGTGTTGAAAGACAGGTGACCTTCCGGCCTGTGGGCTGGGGTAAGATAAGAGTCCTGAAAGGCTGATAAGCACTAATCAGGTGCCGATAAGTAATCGGCTCCTGCACTAATCCAGGATTAAAATTTTGGTCCACTTTCTGTATAGCCTCCCACGCAGGCGTTTTTAGGGGATAACGCCTCCGTAGGAGGCTATCCTATGAAAGGCTTAGAGTAACATTTTGTGTTATCATTACTGTAACTCAGAGTAAAGGCTCAACAGTATTTCGTATTTTTAAAAAGCTTGAATTTGACAAGGCACAGGCCGCCCAAACTCACAGTACGGGAACGCGGACGTGACTCTTGCTTGCGAAAGGTGTTGTGTTACAAATGCTTATTTACAAAGGCTTGTAAGGGATGTAAACGATTTTTCTTAAAAGAGAGAAAAAATGTTATGTTTTGAAACGTTTTCGGCGAGTTACTGCTATTTTGGTGTTCCACTGCAAACATAACAGGGTGTCTAGAAAACACAAACCTAGAAAACGCAGACCTCGAAAACGCAGACCTCGAAAACACAGACCTACTGAAACGCAGACCTAGAAAACACCCCGGGGGGGGGGCACTTGGGTATTTTGGGGGTGGGTATGTGCCGCCCGGGACTCCAAATTGGCAACCCGTTCTAAAAAAATTTCCCCTAAAATTGATACCCCGTTCTAGAAATGGGCCAATTTTTTATACCCCGTTCTAGAATTCGCCCTAAAACTGATACCCCGTTCTAGAAATGGGCCAATTCTATATACTCCGTCCTAGAAAGTTTGTAAATTGAAAAAGCCCTGTTTTTTAAAAAAGATATTTCTTTATTTGTTCAACTTATACATCAAATGAATGCTTCTTCATAATGAGCAACAATTTTAAGCAGAAGATAAAGCCGTGATCCACAATTTTTTATACCCCGTTCTAAGTCAGCCGCTTCAAAATCACGACCACGTTGGGCGGTACATACCCGTATAGGTAATGTATGGGAGTTTATCTATAGCTATTCCTGGACTGGCAACAAGAACAGGCAACAGTGAAACGCAGGCCTCCTTTGTTGGTCTAGGATCTATGATTGCGTGATGGAATGCATCAATCTTTTGTATCTTTTATCTTTTCCCTTAAGTATTGTTTTGGAATATAATCAAAAATGTAAAGCAAAATAAAATATATGGACTGAGTAGTTTTAGTGGTGTGAAGGAGATTGTTCGGAAGGCCCTGCAATTTTCAAAAAAAAAAATAAGAGCGAACAAAAGAAACAGAGAACATAGAGGAAGTGAATTCATCACACATCATCTTTATTAGCGACTAAACAGCTGACTAAAAATCACAATTACTTGGTACGTCCTGAGTGGCAAATTGTAAAACGCTTGTAAATGAACAGCAACAACAACAATGAAAACCACGAAATTGCAGTCTGTCAGCACTTGAACGGCTACTTTTCCCATTCTTCAATGCTGTTCCGATCAACTTATTTGTTACTATTGAGTTACTACATTAGTGGAAAAAACCATGTTGATGTTGTTGTTGTTTTACTACGTTATAAACAGGCACTGGGTTACATCGAAAACATCGAGGCACAATCCAATCTTAAATAACGATAGATCGCAGGACATTTAAAGGGAACCTCCACTCTTACTACAGAATAAGTTTAAATCGACTAAAATTATGTTGATAAACATATTTGTTC